AAACATGGGCATGCATTATACGCGGCAAAATACAGTAAATACCCTCTTCCTTAACAATCGCACACTAATTTTAGTGTCCTTTAATGAATTTCCAACCCATCATTCTCTCCATAATTTACTAATTATTTAGCAATTATATTAATTTATTTAATGAACTAATAATTTGTTAATTTATTATTGTAAGATAGAGCTTTCCCTTTTCTTCCATTTATCTATTTATTAATTTATTTATATCAGTGTGGACTCACAGATTATTTTACTCAATGGGTTATATATAATCCATCATTATCATTATTTTGACGCTTACGTTTTTCCACTCTTATATTTGGCTAATAAGAGCCCCTTAAAGCTGGCCTCCATGACCTTCGGACATGTGTCCATCATTCTTTGAGTACTTCCTTACTTCAAGAATTAGAAAATGTCCCAAGATGTACTTTCTCTGCCCCAGCCCTGGAATTAGCCTTTTTCCCCAAGAAGCTCTGATTCCCATTAGTGGAGAATGGCATTTAGAAACCAAGATCTGGGGACTACGTTTGCTCATTGCTAGTGGTGTGTCAGCAAATAGAGCTAAGAATCAAGATATTAATAGGAATTTCAGTGGGCAGAACTAAGAAATTGGGTATAAATAGAAGGCTGTATCTATCTATATGTAGATATGGAGATAAAGATATTAAAAACCATGAGTTCATACTGATAACTCCAATTCCAGTCTAACACCACAGAATACATCCTAGCACCCCTCTTTTCAAAGTTATAACTCTCTTCCCCTACAGTAAAAAATCTGGCTTCCATTATGCTTGATATATATTTTTTCAAGCCTAGGATACACAAATAGTAGTGTGATAATCACTAACCCACACCTCTGAAAAAAGCAGTCCAGCTAACCAGAGTTCAGGAGTCAGTTTTGCTCCTTTCTGGTCTTGTCAGAATTGGTTTTCTTCCTTGTTAGAGGGGATCTACTTCAGTTTTGAACTTAGGTGTAGGGCTTGCCCATTATTTCAGGTGTGGTCCTGATTCCTAAGGCCTGACCTCACTGGTATCTCAACCACATGAATGAGGGGCTCACAAGACTATCCACTTTGTCTGAGCTAGAGATGTAGGGACACCCAGCCTCTCATGGTCACTTGGGATCACCACTCTGCTTCCAGCCAACAGGAAGCCATCTGCTAGGCCTCACAGATTCTCAACCTGCCTGCCTTTGGCTGGGTCCTCCCCACAGACTATAACGACCCCACGCAGACGTCTGTGGCTGTGTACCCTACTCAGCAACAACTTCTCAGGAATCCTGCCGCACCAATTTCAGCCCCATCACAGCCAGAGCTATGACCTCTGCTGCCTCACTGCAGCCAGGCTGTCGCTGCTTCAGCTGGGCTCTCCCTCTGCTGTGCAGGAGGACTGCCCCCAGGAAGAAAGCCAAGGTCATGGGGGAGACTCGCCTTAGGTTTCCCTTCTTGAGATGATCACAGTTTTGCACTCTGTTGCTCAGTGCCTGGAAACCGTTACCTCACATATTTTGTCTAGATTTACAGTTGTTTTTGGATGGAGGACAACTTTTGTAACCAATTATTGTCTCATGACCTGAGGCAGTTCTGCTTTCTTCTTTTTAATAGCTGCATAGTATGCTATAGTGTAGCTATGCCTTAATTTATTTAACCACCCTATTTAGGTTGTTCACAGTCTTGTGCTTTTACAAATGATACTGTCAACATGTGTCATTTCTGACATGTGCAAATATATCGTGATAAATTCTCAAAAGAATTATTGATGAGTCAAAGAGTACCTATTTTAGAATTTACTAAAAAGGTCTGTGTTCACAATACAGCATCTTTCACAACTTTGTAAATTTGGATTATATCCCTCTCAAGCCTTTTCATTCCATATTCAAGACGATCATAATAATTCAGTCACTTTCATATAGAAATTCTTGAATTTTCCAATCATTTCAGAAGTCCCTCTCTCTATTTTCTATCCTCATTATGTTATACTTTAAAATCCACCTACCAGAAATAAACTCAGCTTTCTAGTTTGAGGGCACCATGATTTTGTACTTTCTGTTGCATTTCTAGGTTCATGCTGATCTTCGGGTCATAAAAGAAACACTGGACTGCCTTCTTCTGGGAAAAATAAACAAGGAAGTCTACAGAAATCTATGAGAAAGAGTTCTCTCTAAATATTTTTATGAAAAGAAAAATAAAATGCAATCCCCAGGCATACACATCTATAAACCTAGACAAAAGAGGGTTACACAATAAAAATATAATATTGTAATCTTGACTAGATAAACTTTAATACCCTGTCTAATACTTGCAGAATTAGTCATACTATCCTAGTGCTGTATAATAGCACAATTCAGTGATGGCACTAACTTAAAATTTCTCTGCCCTGAATGTGGAAATAATTAAGCATGTTTTCCTACTAGTTGACACTAAGTAATTAGCTTGCTAGCCGTATGCATGGTCTAAAAGAAGCTGTGGTTGCTTTAAAAATGTTTAGGAATGACAACCTGAAGAAATGCAATTTAACTCCTTCAAATTCTACATCTCTATAAGGACTGATAATTGTAACAACACAAATCCTTACTGAGTTGTTATTATGGGCTCAGTGCCTTTACAGACTTCATAAGCGGTCTTTTACTTAATCCTCATAAGAGGGCAGGTGAGTATTATCCCTCTTTCACAGTTAGGAAATGAGGCTTCGTAAGGTTAAGTAACTTGCCCAAGGTCACACAAGCGGATAGCAACAGAGCTACATTTTTATAATAAACCCAGTTCTATCACACTCCAAAGCCTGTGCATTTAACCAATAACCCAGTGCTTCTCAAAGCACTGGGGATGCACGGATTATCTCTAGTAGAATTACTGGGGACCTTAAACTGCATATTTCTAGTAAGTTACATTCTTTGGGGTGAGACCCAGAAATCTGAATTTTTCACCACTTTCTCAGATAATTCTGATATATATTCATAAGGTATATATGTGTCTAAAATTATGTTGAACACCTGAAACTAATATAATATTGTATGTCAACTACAATTGAAAAAAAGTAAAAAAATAAAAACGAATAACTCCATCATGCTTCATGTTCTCTTTTCTCTAGTCATGACCGGAAGTTTAAGCCTTAAGCCCCTCTGGTCATCAATCATCGTGCACTGTCACTCCCACAATGCTCTGGGCACCCCCTTAGCTGAACCTGACACCCATGCCTCCTCTCCTTCCCAAATGTTACCACTGGGCCAGAGAAATACGCACTAAATGATCGCCCTTATTTCCACATTTTCCTCTCTGAAAGGCCCTCCTCGTCCTTAACTACTTAAACCTTGACCCTGCTTGGGGATGCCAAGTTTGCTGAAATCCTTTCAAGTGACAATCGTTTTCTCTTTCATACTTCACCTACTTCAGCACAATCTTCCTCTCCATTCTCTGACCCCATAAACTTAAGTATGTTGACAGTTATCGTCCCTCAAAGCACCCTGTTCTTTTTCTTCACAGCATTCAATTACTAGTCCTATTGCAAGTTGTGCCTGCACATACTTTGTGCGTTTACTTGTTTCTATTTGTCTCTATCGCTGGACTGTGAATCCTTCATAACCATCTCCGGCACACCTGTTTTGTTAACACCTATTTGTATACCCAAGCATAGGTCAGCACCTGGCATACAGTAGCACTGACTAAATAAAGGAGTACTGAAGAAAAAGGGTACCTCTTATTCCCCTTTTGCACAGGCTTGGGTAAGTGCACATCAGTGGGTTAGACTGGTGACCAGGCAGCTGAGGACACGCTGGCCTGGAGTGGCATCTCTCCCAGGCCAGCCTGAGAAAGTGATCAGGCTGGGCATGACAGGAAAAGTGTACCCAATTATTAGCAAGTTGTAAGGATTTCTCTATTCCTCAGTTCTGTCATGAACAGCCTCAGGAACTCATTCACCTTTTATAACACTCTCTACCTCCTGTTCAAAAGGAATCATGGAGGTTTATCTGAATTTTAGGAAAAACTCCAAAACAAACTGATTTTCACCTGCAGCCTAATACTAAGCTGGGAAACTCACATAATACCTAACTTTCTTAATTCTACTGAATTACAAAATTAGTCAAGTATTAATAATAAATATTGCTGTCCTGTTTTAAAGTCTAGTATGCACAAGGGACATAGAAAAGAGGAATCTTTTCTAGGACATATGAAATACTCCAGTCTCTTTTTTCCCCCCAAATTTTAAAAAATTGAGATATAATCCACATACCATAAATTCCCTTTTGCAGTGTGCAATTCAATGTTTAGCCCAAGTTGTAGAACAACTGTCACTATCTAATTCTAGAACATTCTCACCACCACCACTACCCCCCCCCCCAAACACATCCTCATTTGAAATCATTCTCTATTCTTCCCTCTCCCAGCCTCTGGCAACCATTACTGTACTGTCTCTACGCTTTTTCCAGTTGTTTTTCACATTCATGAAGCTGAAACTCAGAGATGAAATGATTCGCACAGGGTTACAGTCAGTAAGAGAGCAAGATTATAACACATATTTATGGTAACTTTTTAAGCAGTATGAAAAAACAAGAGATCAGTAAAAATATGTTTAGCTTAACTATACGTATCTTAAATGTGGCTATAAGACACCTGATATACAAAGCCGAGTCCTTGGACTAGTAATTACCAGCGTGTCAGGTGGGGAGTGCAGGGTGGTGGTAGGAATCCCTGAACAGGGAGAGAGATGCTGGTGATGGACACAAGCTGCACTTAGGACAGGGTGACACAGACAGAAGGTGAGGGGAAGTGTTGAGGTTATGGGATTTATAGGGCAGACACATTTCTTTTCAGCTCAGAGTTGTGAAATAAGTGTTAATGTGTCCAGGTGTCCATCTGCTTACCTCACAGTGCCCCCATTGGGCCCCAGAGATCCCCCATCATCCCCAATTTGTTTATGAGTAGTTAACGCATAAATAATGCTAACACCACTTCAGAATACTTGCTGGTTAATGACACCTTGCAAAATAATACAGAAAACATGACTTTTTAATATTCTACTGTCCTCATTTTCAAATAAGTTAAAGAATTACAAGCTTAACTTACTTCTGTTCCCCATCAACAAATATGTACACAGAAACAGTGACCCCATAGACTAAAATCATCAGAATCCATTTGCAAAAATAATTAGGCACACATTTTATTTTATATATCTTAATCAATATTGCAAATACCATTAACAAAAGGAAAAATGGATGGAAACCGCTCACAATACAGAAAAACATTCATTCAAAAGAGATTAATCTGAACCTCAACATTCTCTGTGCTCATTTAAAAATATTATTAAAACAGCAATTCAAAAAGACAAGTCAAAACTAAGTAGTTTATTACTTAAAACTGAGACCCTAAACCAAATAGGACTACCCAACTTAAAAACAATCCTTTGTCTTCAACCTAGGGAAGTTTGATCTGCCAACATATAATGAACACTCATGAGCCTACCACTGGGTAAGTAGACAAATTCTCCCTTACAAACAAGGTATTTTGAGTTATAGAGATCCTGCAGACGACTAGCTTATTTTTTTTAATGACTTCTAAAAATGACTAGTGAAACTATTCATAGAACTGGAAACTAAATGACATAGTGGTGATCATTTAAAGTTGAAACCTCTTGTCTACCAACTATTTTACTAAAACTGTTATCAAGCAAGTACATTAACTTAAAAAGTCAACTTTTAATTGCCTACAGTAAAAGAAACCTTTGGTACCAATAAATTAGAAGTAGGGCATCAAAATATATTTTATTTGTATTTTTAGTGTTTTTGAAATTAAATTGGAAATGCCTATATGTGAAAATGTGAAAGTGATTCTTCTGTTACCTACACTATTGTGAGGAATAAACAGCCTGTTTCGAATTATTGATATAAATAAAGCACTGGCCTAAAATTTCTTTCAAAAAGATTAATGGGTAACACGTTGCAATTCAGACAAAAAGTAAATAAAGAATTATGTACTACTTTACTTTTCAATGTTCTCTTTCCCTTTTGATATGAGCAGCAAGATACTAGAATAAAAATAATTCCAATAAGTACTTCCAGAATATATCGATTTTAGTTCTCCCACTTGATAGTGGGCTAAGAAGAACAACACAAATAAATTTAAAAAGAAAGGAAGATTTAATTTTACAAAAGGGCAGACTGAGCAAGGGAAGAGGGTGGGTTTAGGAAAATAGCTGTTGTCACTCAGCCCTTTGGTAAAATTAGGAGCATGATAAACTCTCCTTAAATCACACCCAGGGCCATGCACATTGCACATGAAATCTGAACAATTCTTTGATAAACCTTACAGCGGCAGATAACTTGCAGAAATTTATTAACACATTTTAATTTTAAGAAATAAAAAACAAAATATTCAAGATACACAGCAATTTTACTTTTTGAAATGGCTAGCCTAAAAATTTTTCTTGAATTCAGATTTTGTGACGTTCCTACTCTCTAAGTCTTTGAGTAGACACAGAAAACTACTTATGAATACTGTGAACTAATTGAGATTTAATTCTAAATTTAGCCTGTCATTTCTGGATATAACATTCGAATAAAACCACTAAAAATACTCTTGTTTAAGTAGGTTTACTTGTCAAATAATTTAGTTTGGGAAATATTTATATTCTTATCCCAAAGGACAGATTATTTTTAGAGTCTGAAAGATTAAAGATAAAAACAAAACTTGGTTCATCAATTGTCAAAATGAAATTAATACAAACACTGACCACAACAACTTTCCATTCAATTCAGAATAAACCACTTTAAGTGAGCTCAGCTCACTTGAGTTTTAAAACCATTTCTTTTCCAGCTTCATAACTGGATTGAATGTTGCTCAACAACATTACCTGTGTTATTACCTGTGTTAAAAGTGAGGAGATAAAGTCTTGTAAAGATTGCACAACGACTGAATCTGAGAAGGGTGTAACGTACAATCATAACGTTTCAGAGCTGAACGGGATTGTCAAGATCTAATCCAGCACCCACCTTTTACAGATAAGAAAACTGAGGCACAAACAGAGTCATTTGGTCAAAAGACTTGACCAAAGTCACATTCCTTGGCTGAGCCATTCATTTATTCACTCAGTTATTCATCCTCCTACTTCCTGAAAGCTGCCTGAGTGCCAGGCTCGGTGGTAGGTGCTGAAAACAAGCTGGAAGGCAGCGTTCACAATTGTGGAGGAGTCTTTTTTCCTTATTTTCTTAAGATAAATCCTTAAATGCCCTTATCAACAAGAACTCTGTGGAAGAGTTCTGCAGCCTTTATAAAAACCAGACCCACTTTCAGTTTCACACGTTTCAGTAAACACAGTTGGGTTAAACTTCAGAGGCCTGGGCTGTATTTACTTTAAGTGATTAAGCATTAACAAAAGGAAGGAAGTACAGTATTCTGAATGAGTCTCTCTAGTACATTCACAACTTAAGGGAGTGCAATCAGAAAATGCCTTAACACACAAACAAGTTCACAGACAGGACAGCTTACAAAATCAGAGTGATTCGAGGTATCAGTATAGATTAGTTAAGTCCAGTAGCTCCAAGTTTACAAAGTGTGGAATGTAGAGATCCCATTTCATTCAGGTATCAGTATATTTTTCTGAGATTCCTATGTATTGGAAAGACCTCGCAACTCACATTCAAACTAATGGCCTCTTCTAATACCATATATATCTAAACCAGGCCTCTCTCCTTAAAAATCAACTTTCTTTGATTTCCATTTGATTAAAGGAAAAACTAGAATAAAAAAATAAACAAAACCTAAAATTTAATGTCCCGGCTAAAATTAAAATTCTATGTACAATCCAAACAGCAATAGTTCTAAACTGCGCACTCATGAGTTTTGTTTAAAAAAGGGACGTGCAGAGAGTTTAACCATCCAACATAAATCATCCCTCATTTTGCTTGAACTTTTACATTCTTTAACATTAAGTCTGGCACTTAAATGTTTTGTGTATTTCAATTCACAGTCCACTTTATGGAGAAGTAAAAAACCATATTGACGGAGCTTTAAAATAAAGCAACCTATAAGGCACTTTGAAATATTAAACAACAGCTCTCTGGGCACCCAGTTTCAGTATTCTACACCAAAATGAACCACAGATTATACAGCGCTCTCGCAAATGACCACTGGGTGATTGCTGATAAAATATAATCTTCAGTGAGGCTCTGACTCCCCTGAATATATCCTCAGCTCAGGACCAAAGTGCTATTGTGCTCTTCTAGTTCTCAAACTTCCAGATTTGATTTTTATCTAGAGCATTACAAGTTCTCATCTGGACATTAGGTTGGCCCTCTGGTGTCCGATAAGCACTAAGACACAGTCTTGAGTGTGGATGAAAAATGGTTCCATCTTCTTTAAAATGCCAAATAATGTTCGCTGGAATAGGGAACCCATCTTTTGGGCAATGTTGCATTCCGACATGATTTTTTTGCTCAGGAACCTCTGCACATAACTCTGTCACAGAATTAAACCTTATTTCTTTGTTTGAAGTATATTCAAAGAATTGATTGCCTCCTTGACCATGGCATCCAAATAGTGAAAGGTTAGCACCTGTGGGGTTGTTGTCAGGGGAATTATAATCTAAACATTCAGAAGAGATCCCCATACTGCGAATAGCTCCGTGCCAGCCTGGCCTATCCTCTGGAACGTGTAAATTTGAAAACACATTTTTCAAATACCAGTCAAAGCTCTTGCACTTCAGCCTTTCGCGTAGTAATTTTCTTTCGGAAATATCGCCATAGGCTTCTTTCCTTGCTGGAGGGTTTCGATTGTAGAAATGCTCTTTGTACTCATCCATCCACACTTCCGCTGCCCGAGCAGTATTCTGCAGGAAATTGGGCCGAGCATATGGTGCCCGCTTGGGGAATACGTGGCCCACGTGGGAACACGGATGGATCTCCAATTTACCTCCACACTGCCACACCCGAAAAGACAGCTCCAGGTTTTCACCTCCCCACACTTCCATTCCAGTGTCATATGTTCCAAGGTACTCAAAATATTTCTTGCTGACGGCAAACAGTCCTCCAGCCATGGTGGGCGATCTGATTGGGTCAATTCTCGATTTCCGCCTGTCCCTTTCATGTTTGGGGACAGAATGCCACTGAAACGTTAAGCGCCAGTCAAATCCGCCAATCATGGGTTCTCCAGTCTGCATATAGAATTCAAAAGTATTCCAATCAATGGTGTCTATAACAGGACAAACAACTGCTGTTTCATCTTGACCAATCCTTTCCAAAAGTGGCTCCAACCAACCAGAATTACACTCACAGTGACAATCCAGGAAAGTAAGAACATCCCCAGTGGCAAAAGTGGCCCCAATCAGGCGGGCCCTAACCAGCCCCTCCCGCTTATTCGTTCTAATCAAGCGAACTCTATCGAGATTGCTGATATAAGTTTCAAGTTGTGCCTTCAAATAAACTCTGTCACTCAAGTCATCGACTAAGATGATCTCCTTCAAAAGAACTGCAGGAGAAGTTTCTAAAACACTGTGGATGGTGCGGAGCAAAGTCGACCAGGCTTCGTTATAGAAAGCAATGATAACGGAGGTGGTGGGAAGTCTCCTATAGTTAAAACTCTTGGATTTACATTCGTACATTCTACTATCCTCTATGTGGCGGTGCAGGGAAATCCTGTCACTGAGGTAAATGTTAATGGCATATCTCTCAATGAGTTCCTCTTGCTGCTTCAGTTCAGCCTCGTTGAGCTGGAGTTTGCTGGCTTTCCCCCACTCCCCAAGTGCATGGGAATCTGCAGGGGGCTTCTCATAAAGCGGTCGAGACAAATCCACTGCCTTGTTCTCCGGGTCTGAGAGCTGCCTTGGACCCCGCTCCCAGGCAAGGCCAGCTCCTGGGGAGGCATGGAAAGTAGAGACCGAGAGTTCCACCAGGATATAGGCCACAGTTAAAAGCGCCAGCAGCAGGCAGCTTTTGCCTGCCCAAGTCCACCTCACAGCCATCCGGATCCTCGGGGGTAGGGCGCAGACGCGGCCACCGGAGTCACCACGCAGAGGAAGGGCTGCGGGATCCGCAACTTCAGTTCCCGGCGCAGGTAGGAGCGAACTTCCCAGCAGGTCGCTGCTTTCATGCAGGCGCTCGGCTCCTCTCCAGCCACGGGGACCCCCAGGGCTCACTTGGGACCTCTCAGCCTTCCGCCTGCCGCGCTGCCCCAAGTCCTCTCCCCACTTCCTCCGGCAAGCCTCACAACTTTTCACAAACTCTCCAGCCAACACCCCACCCTCCCCGGGCGGAGGACAAACCCCTCCCCTTCGCACTTACTCCTCCTAGCGGTTAAGTCGCGCAAGTCGCCCGCCAGGCCCGGGTCCGCAGGCGACTGTGCGGGGCCGGGATGGCGCCCCCGCACCAGCAGGACCAAGGTGCCCCCCTCGGGCCCAAGCCGGCTCCGACCGCGCCCCCGCGCCGGGTACCCTGAGTCTCCCGCCGCTTTCAACCCCCACACGGGTCCTCAGTGGTGATCCCGGGGCCCAGCGTGGGCAGGAAGCAAGGTTTCCGACCAGCGGCGCGTGTGCCCCATCCCAAAAGGAAAAAAAAAAAAGAGAGAAACTTACCAAGTTGTTTGCCGTTGGGATGAAAGTCCACGGAGGTAATCGCAGCTTTGTGGCCCTTAAAATAACGCTCCAGAACCGGGTCCTCCTGGGAAGGAAAGTTGTCAGGTTTTGAAAGCAGGTGCAGAGCTCGAATTCGGGGAGGGTGCGGGGATCGGCGCGGCGGCCCCCCGCGGGCTCCGGCCTGGGAACGGCCACGTAGACGGCGGCTCTGCGGGTCTGAGGGTGCCCCGCGCGAGCCCACGCGGGGAGCCCCACGGAGAGACGCGGGGCGCCAGCTTTCCCCGCAGAGCCGCCAAAATCCTCTGTCCGCGTTTCGCAGAATCGAGCGCACCTGAGAAAGCCCCCGGCGGCTCGCGGGAGATGCAGGTTCCCAGGCCCCGCGCCCGGCGCGCAGTCGCAGGCGCGAGGCGGGGCCCCGCTCTGGTCCTTTTAAAAACCTCCCAGGTGATTCTGACGCAGGCGCTCTACGGAGCCCCTCAGAGAATTCCGGGGGGCCATGGGACGACTGCAGGGGCTCGGTCCCCAGCTCCGAGACGCCGGGAGGAGCGCCTGGGAGCCCGGCCAGGCCTGGGCGCTCCCGACGCCCCAGCAGCAGCGCGTGAGACGCGGGCACCCGGGACGAGGGCCGCAGAGCCAGCGGTTCAGGACCCGGCTGCGGACACCTGCCTCCACCTCCCGCCAGGTGCGGGCGCGGCCCCTACCTGGCCCCGCAGCCCGCGGGACCGGCTCTGGGGACGCGACTCCCATCCCGTCCTTACCGGGGCGGAGGCCATGGGGGGAGCGGTGGGCACCCGGTTCCTGCGGGTGGGGGAAACCGGGGGAAGGAGGGGCCAGGGTGGAAGGGGGGACCGTGCGGCGCCCGGAACCGTCTGCCCAGAGCGGCGGCGCCTCCCGGTCACTACAACAACGGCGGCCCAGTCAAACCCCGTGCTCCAGGCGTGGCCAGCCGAGCCCCGAGACTCCGCCGCCGCAGGAGACAGCCCGGCCTCCGCCAGCTGGCGGGCGGGACGCTGCGGGGTCAGGGGCGACCACACACCAAAGCCAACGTGTATTAACTCTCGCTACCCCCAGCTTGACACCAAGAAAGAGGGTAGTAACTGGGGTAGCAATGACACCGATAGGAGGGAAAGGATAGTGATTCTATGATCGATGCAATCAGAGTTCTATTACACGTTAAAGAGACAGCGCCTGCGAATTTCAAGCGCGTCCCTGACAGCTTGTTGTGACGGGGGAGGGAGCTTTGATCTGAAGGAGGGCAGCTTGCTAGTTATTAATATATGCCAAGGAACTAGATCTCTAGAGGACAGATTTGAATTTATTTAATTACTATTTTTCACACAATGTCCTGCGTGATATAAATAAATTCTGGATAAACGTGATAAATGAATGAAGGAATGAACGAATGTTGGGCATCCACTTAATGTTTTTCTGCTATGTGTTTCTATTCTAATCTGCTCATTTGGGAATGTTTTAGAGCAGCCAATTTATACAGCAGCATATTTAAAGTCTTCAGAAAGACTTAGAAATAAACTTTTTGTTTTGTTCTGTTTAAATTATTAGGCCACATAGTAACTATATCCATTTCTACAGCACAATTTCTTATACATAATATCATTTACGCTTCAGCAACACTGTGAAGCTGATAGAGTTACAAAATGTTACCAATGTTTACAAATTATAAACTTAATTCTTAGATATTTTACACGTAATTTGTCAAAGATCACACAGACGGCTCTTCCAATTCCAAGTCCATATCCTTTTCTTTTACTCTGCTTCAAAGCATAAAGGACTCAGCTGAAAATTACATACAGAGTAAGAATTCTTGGCAGCATAAAGCAGCATAACAGATAAGCTGGTAAAATACATGTTCTATGCAAATAAAAGGTATACTACACACCTTAATTACAGGTTCTCTAACTGTTGTCTAGTGATAGAATTTAGTTGCAATGAATACTGTACATAGCCGTTAGGCAGATAGGAAATAGCTGTAGATTGCAGTATTAGGTTTTTGGGTTTTTTAAAAAAGATTTTTTATTGGGGAATTGGGGGAGGGGAACAGACAAGTTGCTGTCCTTTTGTTCTTCAGTCTAGTTGTGGAGGATGTTGCTTCACTGGCCCATGTTGGTATTATCATTGCGCTCTTCCCGGGTGAGGCAGATCAGTCGCCGGCCTCTGGACGGCTGCTTAAGGCAGCTCTTGGCAGCTCACACCGGCTGCCAGCCACTCACGCTGGCTGCCAGCCACACATGGTAGCCCATGGCAACCCACTGCAGCAGGGGCTGCAGTCTACGCCATCGCCAGCGTCCCACGCAGTCCAGCTCCAGGTCGAGCTGTTGTTCACCATCATAGCTGTAAAGGGCAGTGTCACTGGCCCTAATGTGGGATCTGAACCGGGGCCCTGCTGCTCAGAGCTGGCGTCCCAAGCCAGCTCTTAACCAACGCGCCACTCGGCCGGCCTTGCAGTATTAGTTTAATTCAAGTATATGTTTGTTGAATATCTGCTATATGTTTGGTCCTGAGAGATACAAAGGTGACTGAGATATTTGCCCTCAAGAACTCAACAAGCTAGGTTTCTGAGCCTCATATTTTAGCACGCATAATGATGACTTAGGGGACCCCATTCCCAGAGATGCTGATTTAACATATGTGGGGTGGGATCCAGGGCCCTGTGGATGAATAAGCCCCTTAAGTGATTGCTATGAGAGTCTCAGCTGTGTACATGGAAAAACATCATTCTAGTGTAGGAGGTGATGCATCAACAATGTTGATACCAGCAACTTGTCAGCAAACTGTGGCAGGACTCTAAGCTTTGCTTAGTCCCATCTAGGTATGACTTAAAAAAAAAAAAAAGCCTGACATACTTTAAAATAACGCTGGATTATGCTGGGAATGTAAAATGGTATAGCATTGTGGAAAACAGTTTGGAAGTTCCTTAAAGAAGTTAATTCCTAGGTATATACCCTAAAATATTGAAAGCCGGGTCTGGAACAGATACTTGTATGCCAAAGCTCATGGCAACGTTATTCATAATAGCCAAAAAGTGTAAAGACTGACATGTTTTACAGATAAATTGATAAATAAACGTGATACACACATACAATGGACTGTTATTCAATCATAAAAAACGAATGGAATTCTGATACTTGCTACAAATGGGTGAACCTTGAAAACATGCTAAGTGAATAAGCTGAACACAAAGGAACTTATATTGTGTGATTCCACTGATATGAGGTACCTCAAGCAGGTGGATTCATAGAGATGAAAAGTGGAATGGAAATTACCAGGGGCTGGGGAAAAGGGAGAATGGAGAGTTATTGTTTAATGGGTGCAGAGTTTCTGTTTGAGATGATCAAGTTCTGGAAATATATAGTGGTGATGATTGCAAAACATTGTGAATGTATTAATGCCAGTAAATTGTACACTTAAAAATAGTTAAAATGGTAAATTTTTTATTATGCATAGTTGACTACAACAGAAAAGTAATAATTCTGGAAATTCTGAGAAATAACTAAGACTTTAGCATTTCTCACAGCCCTGATATGTCTAATATTGGGTACAGTACATCGCAGAAAAAGAAAAAGTTGGGGATGTAGAAACTAGCTCAAAAGAAAACAAATTTTTAAGTATACATTTTTCTATACAAGCCTTTCAGTAAAATAATTTTTATTTTTTCCAATTATCAAAGAAATACATGTTTTTAATTGAACAGAAGGGAAAAAAAATCACCTGTTGTCCCGTCACCTAAAAGGTGAGTTAAAAAAAAAATTACCTATAGTATACTCACTACAGGTACTCCTCTAAGTATCTTACAAATTCTGACATTTAATCCTCACAAGAATCTTATTAGAGATCATTATTGCCATTTCCATTTCCATTTTACAGATGAGGAAATTGACATGCAGAAATATGAAGTCACTTGCCCTGGTACACAGCTAGGAAGTGGTAGAGCTTTAAATTTTAGTGGGTGCCTCTAGACCAGGGGTCGGCAAACTTTGAGACGGAAAAGCCAACCCTGTCCCTCACAACAATTTAAAAATTATTCGAGAGCCGTAAAACAAATGAAATCACCATTATGTGAATAATATCCTTTAAAATTTTTATAAATGAAACTATGATAGTTTTATTTTCATTTTCAATTTTACTTCAGAGCCACATGTACATAGCCAAAGAGCTGCATGTGGCTCATGAGCCACAGTGTGCCAACCCCTGCTCTAGACTCAGCTCTCTTAATCAGTAAGTCTTGATGCCTTTTGTGTAGGTTGCAGGCATATCGTAAATACGTAAAATTCTGTGTCCTAGCCTAACAGTAAGTTATAATAAGAAAAACAGTATCTCCTTTGTTTCCATTCCACTGTCCTCATCTATTTTTCCAAACTGCCCCTGGCATGGTTCTTTTCCGTATTAGATTTTCTTTTTGCTATTCCTCAACTTTGCAAATAGCAAAAGCTCAGATGGACATTTGGAAATGTGGTCAAAGGTGGGGATATTTTTTCTATCCTCAAGACTGCTTGAGTTCATGTAATCCTACTTTCTACAATAATTATTTGGGACCTCCCCAATTGCAAACTTAATAACTTGAATGGGAGTCACAATATTTGAAAATCTATGAGATATCACTGAAGGCCAAATACTAGGTAGGACAAGCTGATCCTTTAATTAGCCCTCCTTTTCCAGATCTCCCTCAAATCAGAAACTGAAATTATACACTTGAGCACTATAAAGGGCTGTTTTCATTTTAGCTCCAGTCATTCCTAGGTTAATTCACTTCAAAAGTTGAAAATTCAGACAGAGCACAAAAGTGCCATCTACCGTACACATTCTGCATTCACACTTGGAGTGAAAATACTTTGTAGCCTGTTCTTACACAGTGTAACTCTCTTTTGGATATAGTCGCTCCAAAGTATAGGCAAGTGCATGGAAAGGAAAGTACCAGATCTGTTTGAATCATTAAAACATTAACCTTTTTTTAAAAAAGACCATCAAAGCCTACAAGTTGATGCCCCAGAATTCCAGTTCAGGTCTGCCCCTCAAGTAACTGCAAATGTGTAATTTTTATACAGAATGAACTCAACAAGAGGTTACTAGTTTTTATGCATCTTTATGACTTAGTAACATTCTCTATGGAACATAATTTTGGTCCTCAGGCTATATTTATATATTTATTCCACAAATATTGAGCACACTACTAGAAGCCAGGCAGTATATTAGGTGTTAGATGTACAAAGATAAGTAAAAATGGTTACAACAGTAGAAAACTTACTTACCTTAGGCCCTGGCAGATAACAAAAATGAGTTAGGCAGTCTGAAGAAAATGAAAACACTTTTGAAAGGATATATGATATATTTTTGATACATTTTTTGAAAGAATATATTTCATTTCACAAAATGAAAATTTGAAATGATGTATGCACCCCCATTTCCACTGCAACATTATTTACAACAGGCAAGATATGGAAACAACTAGGTGTCCATGATAGTTCAATGGATAAACAAGATGTGATACACACACACACACACACACACACACACACACACACACACACACACACGAATATTACTCAGCAATAAAAAATAATGAAATCTTGCCATTTATGACATGGATGGACCTAGAGGGTATCATAGTAAGTGAAATAAGTCAGACAGAGAAAGACAAATACCATGTGATCTCACTGATATGTGCAATCTAAAAAACAAAACATGAACAACAACAAAAATAACAGGAATAGACTCATAGATACAGACAACAAACTGATGGTTGCCAGAAGGAAAGGGGCCGAGGGGATGGACTACAAAGGTGAAGGGGAATAAGAGGTACAAAGTTCCTTATAAAATAAGTAAGCCATGGAGATATAGTGTACAGCACAAGGAATAGAGTCAATATCATAATAACTTTGTACAGTGACAGATGGTTACTAGACTTATCATG